AATTTCCTAATTTCATAAAAGTAGTTTAAATCTTGTTAACTAGTTTGAAGAAGCCATTGCATAGATATGTTAAATTCCACTACCAGCACGCTTGACTGAACAAAACAAAGTATTGATTAGTCAAACCAGATATTGGATGATAACTACGAATAATTCAAGTAATTTGGTGATGTTGAGGTCTGGACTCTTAGATGGTCACTCTGTTGTTCTGAGAATACCAGCAGCTTGTTTATTGTCTTCTCACAGTGGAAGGATGGACAGAAGCACCTGTGGATTTTTTCAGATCTGAAGCAAGAGTAGAGCTTGAGTTCTGCTCTCTCTCAAAAATGAAAGCTGTTTATCTGATTGAGACAGTTCTGGTGGTCTACCAGGTATTCAATGCTTGTTAGGAGTCCTGTTGTTTCTATATATTTTAATTATTTTTTGACACAGTTTTAAAAACTATGTTTTACTATTATTTTGCTTATTTTCCTTTCCACCTCCTTATGCTTATGGAATCTTTTATCTAGTCTCCTCACTTTTGCACAGTACTGTACAGAATATCATAACTGAGGTTATAGCATGCATTTTCCCTTCTCCAAATGATAAATTATGATCTAAATGTGATTGTTAATCATCTATCTTGAGTTAATATCACAGTTCTGAGTTAAATTTTGTATGTGTTGTCTTCATGGATATGATATACCTTAAACGCAGATCACTCCTTGAAACGTCTTGGGTATCTTCCTCCTACACTGTAGCTGAATTGATTTTACCAGTTAATGTACAAGTAATTCAGTACTATCATTATAATTATTATTATTAAAACCCCCTCAGCCATTATCATTGTGGAATGAAGATATAATGAATGTGTGCTCAGATTAATGTGCACATGGTTCAGGTTATTAGAAAGGTTTTGAAATGCCAACAGACAAGAATGTAATCTCTGAACATCTTCCTCAGAAGTAGAACCTCCTTGAAAGAGGTTTATTTCAGCATGATTTAGGATGTCTCATTTACAGAGCATACATGTGTAAGTAGTAAATTATGAGACTCTTAAGTCACCAAATAAATAAAATAGTCGTATTATCTAGTTCCAAAAAATGCAGTCAGATTAAAATCTACCTATGATTCATTTAATTATGCCTGTACTACATTGGTAGTAAGAGAGAACTCAAAGCTTTTTGAGCTTTGGTTTGCTAGTTAAGCCAGGACTGTCTCTACAACCGAGCGTGTTGTCATGGCCTGTGCTGCTTGCATTGCAACACTAGAATGGTTGGAGTAGCCAAAAGGAGCTCCACAGAAGTGAGGGAGAGGAAGAGGAATTTTAAGAACTTAATTTAAGCCTTAAATTAATCTAAACTCAGTGCAGTTTAGTAATTTGATGGTTCCAGTAGTGTTTCTTGCAAACAGAAAGCATGCTCTGGAATTACTGCACTGCCAGAGGATCATGGCCTTCATTCAGGAGCACCAACTAGATTTAAACTATTAGGTATGATATTGTATGGTGGTGAATTATTATGCTTGTAATAATAAAGGTACCGAAAAGCGTTCTGAAATAACATTGTGGAACAGCCACTTTTGATTTCCTCAAGAACCTTTCGATGGATAGTTCCTCAAAGAAGCATTTATGTAAATGAGACATTTTGTTTTGTAGAATCTACACATAATTCAAAGGTTCTATGCTGGTCAAAGGTTTTTCCTAGAATCGTATGTCTAAGCTGAGAACCATGTATGATTTTATGATTTTAGATTTGTTTTTATTTTATAGTAGATTTATTTTTAATGTATCTATAATGACCTAACTGTCTCCTCCTTTACAAGATATTATACACCTATACACCAAATTCTGGATGCACAGTGCTTTCAGAGTTTTGAATGGTCTTCACCTAATGTGTTGTTCAGATGGACAGCATAATTGCGAGATTATTGGAGCGCAGCTAAAAAGTCTTTATTGAAACACTCTTAAGCTGTCTCTTTAACTGCATCATTTCCATAATGCACCATTACATTTACAAGAGCTGTTTAAATGATTTAAGATAAGTGATGTGATTGGCTGAGAAGATAGTAATTAATCACCACACCCTCCTTTTTCTACTTATTCTACTTATTTAACCCAAACTGTTTTGCACCTGCATGAAAAGTACATCTTTTGTCCACGCCCTCATGTGACATAGGCGCACTTAACAGATGTCAGGAAAACAGGGTGCTTTATATTCATGTACACAAAGTGGTTCCCATAAATCAGTTCGACAATCTCAATCTAATGGGATCTGAATTTTCTTATTGAATTGTAGAACATACACAAAAACAATTGCTGCACCTTCTCTCAAAATCAGTCGTAATTCATTTTTACATGACCCTCTTTATCCCTCAGAATTAAACTGTTTTTGTCACTGTGCCTTTAAGACTGATATATGTAAATTATCTTTATTCTGATTGGCTTGCCTTGTATTGTGCCTCTTTCTTAAAGCACTCTGGACCAAAACACTCTTCATAACCTCAGTGTGAATGAGCAGAGCTAGACTGAATAGGCAAAGACTTGTAAATATGTAATTTTTAGTGACTTCACAAAAGTAGTTCAAAAACAGGCTGCTTTTGCATCTTAGTTTCCATATATGATCTGTGTGGACTGAGGAGTGAATGGTACATTTTATAACTTAATGTTTACATGCTACATCAACCTCTTTTGTTTTCAGAAAGTGAGGAAATGTTAGTTTTTCATGATTTAATTCATTTGTGAAAGTGCCTTTGCAACTTTATGCTGACATTCAAGAGACCAAAGCATTAATGCACTTCTCAGTAGCTTAGTAGCTTTTCACAAATCCTTCTTGGTACGTTTATACACTTTTTGTGCTGAAACATATGCTCACATTTGACTGTATTCAACAAAGCCAAATATGTTCAGTAATGCAGTGCCCTTGTTTTTGCAGACATACTCACGTTTCTGTTCTCTGCCCCCCTGCCCCCCTTTCTCCGTATGTTGTGTTCTTTGTTTCAGCAGAGCTGCAGAGAGAGGGGAGCATAGAGACGCTCAGCAACAGCTCCGGTTCCACCAGCGGCAGCATTCCTCGCAACTTCGAAGGCTACCGGTCCCCTCTCCCCACCAACGAGAGCCAGCCGCTCAGCCTGTACCCCACCGCCTTCCCCTAAACATAGTCCTCACCTCCCGTCCCATTACAGAGGCTTCCCTTGCTCCTCCAGCCATGCCTGGATCGGTTGTTGTGGTGTGCAGTGTTGGCTCTTTCCTTCAACCAAACCAGCCCTCTAGTGATGAAGAGTGAAAAATCCTCTTAAACTCAACTTGGAGAGAAGACGAGACCTGCACGCAGGTGTTCACTGAACGACTGACTTGATTCTGACTTGTATTACAAACATGGTTAGTGTGATGCAGCTTGTGTGGGATAGAGAGAGAGAATGTGAGAGAGAGTGACACATTGATATATTTAATATAAAGGCTGTCATTTTGCCCCTTCTCTTAAACATATGACATGAATTCATTCAGAAATCTTCTTCGTGTGTACAAATGTACATTCGTGTGCCAATACATACATGGGTTTTTGGTTTGTATTCATGCAGTAGCTTTGTGTGTGTTGTTATTCAACACGTTGTATGTGTCTTGATTACGTTTCAGTAGATATGTTTAAGTTTTGAGGTCATGAAACATTACATTTTATCCAGTTCTTTGATTGCAGTCATAGTTTCAGAGTTTCTGGATCCCACTGAAATGGAGTCTTCACATCATGTTTATTTACAATATTTGTGTTAAAAGCAAAAGTCATTTGAAGACTGAAAAACACATTTATTTCTGATCATTAGACAAGTCAAATAGAATATTTGAAATCTGTTTTAGAAGACATTCACCGTGATAATATTTAATATCATTTGCTTAGATTACTGCCATTGACAAATACGTTGCATTATAAAGTTTGTTTCAAGTCTAGAAGTCATACATACAGTTTTATGTCACACTTTAAATTATTTTCCACATATTTGATTCAGATTTGAACCTGTTACTACATTTTTTTTCCATTTTGGCTTTAAAAAAATATCTAGTTTCTAGTTTGCATGGAGTATGTCCTACATTGCCTTTTAAATTTGCTGCAGATTTTAAATTTGTTTCCTCGAGAAGGAACATAGATTAGCATTATGTTCTCTTCATCTTTCAAGAAATGCTTTTGTGGATGTTGAGTGAATGTTATTTAGTCAATCTTCTGCTTAAACCTCTTTATCCAGGCAACTGTTGATGCGTGTGAGATGTCTGCCCACTGCCTGTAAGGTTATATATTTAGAGAGAAGTAATAATTGTGTAGCAAATCTCTCTCACATGCTGTTATATATCAGTCTTGCTCTTTATGACTTTCTCTTCAACTCAACTGGACAAGTGTAAAGGAACTGCATTGATATTGATGTAACAGCTATCAGCTCGGCTTGTAGCTTAAAGACTTGAAGGCTATTATAGTTGCGTTGGTCAGCGTAGTGCATGTAGCAAACGTGAGGTGCATGTGATGAGGATGGATTTTCGACCAGCTCTCTGAATGATTTACAAAGGGCAAAATTGGCATGACTGTATCTCCGTGAATTCATTGCACATGCTTTTTATGGACTGTAATACGCTTTTGTAAAACTCTGAATTAATCCTATTGTTGAATATAAATCTGTGCGATTGAGATCTGCTGGGTGTCCATTGGTTTGTATCTGTTTACTCGAAAAGATGAGCATTATATCTGTTTACAGGTATCAACAAATCATCATTTTTTAAAAATATAGAAATCCAGAGGCTAAATATGCTGGGCTTCAATCTGTCTAATCACTTTAAAGGCTGTAAGTTAAAGTTTCAGAACTGGTTCTGGTGTCCTCTTAATTCCAAAAACCTCAGCAGGTAACCAGTGATTAAGTTCTTTTATTGTTTCATCTTACATTTACTGTGTTATGTGACCATGTAATTTATAATGTAACACAAGACATTAGGCATGTTTTTAGTTCTGGAGGTTAAATCAGTTGCAATGCTCTTTTATTCAGTTCTCTAATAAATATTATAAATAATGAAGACTAAAATGAATTTGGTTGAATTGCATCAATATTATATGCTGGTAAAAAGACTTTTCCTTATTCATAATTCATAACTTTGTTCATTCACAACCTTACCTGAATCAGCCTGCCAGCAGACAAAACCAGAAACAGAGCCAGTATTGTACCGTCACAGTCATCTTTAATGATGAGAATCATATAAACACAGACATACAGTTCAGAGGATTGTTTCTGTCACTGTTCGTACTGATTTACTGCTTGGTAAGGTGGGAAATGTGTAAACCATTCTTAATTTCCTACTTATTAACTTACTCTGTGGTTTTTAATGTGTTGCGATTTTTTCATCTGATTACATAATAAGAGAAATCATACTTAACTGTGTGAAACATTTAAGCAACACAAGAAGATGAACTGCAAATGCTTAGAAAATGACGCTGTCTTTTCTCCAGGAAGATGCAGGATTCAGCAGAGCTTCAGGAAACATTGTTTTTGGTAATAAAAAAAATAAAAAATTAAGTTAAACTACAAAAAGTCAAAGCACATCCAAATACTATTGTAAGCATTTTATTTCACCCCTGATAGATTCAGGAGATGCTGGGCAAAACCCTCTGCACCTGCTCACTGCGGAAGAGTAGGTGGGATAAATGGGAAAAGGGAACCTGTTTAATCTCACCTTTCTCCAGATTTCTTTCCAAGATGAATTATCGTGTACATACACTTGCTCAGGCCCCCTTTCAGCCTGGGCCGTATGCCGTGTGCCTGCTGGATGCTGGGCAGCTCCTTGGGAAGTAATTTGCAGACTGAATGAAGTTAGGTTCTCTCTCCTGATAAAAGCCATCACGTCTGCCTATAATGACCAACAGCAGACGGATTGGTCGTTAGTGAGAGATGGGCTTCTTTATTCTCAAACTGGAGCATTTCTAGTCCAGTCACTGCCATCCTGATTTTGAAGGCAAGTTGAGGTGACCACTCTGAATCTTAGAGCCTTAAAATTTGATTGTTTTACATGAGCTCAATCCAGTCTGTAGTGAGGGGCTTGTTAAGGCTTGTTGGTGTTAAGCAAAGCCTCCAGTGGTCCAGTCCTCTGCTCTTACTGAGTCTGAATAGGAATTCAGCAGTCTGGGCTGGCACGCCTGCTCTCTACAGCAGTTAACAGAGCTGAATGGCAAATGAAGAGACTACAAAACAGTTTCACTTGAAGTGTCACCTACAGAAAACATGCGGAAAAGAACAAACAACATACTGGAAAAAACGGATTCTACCTCTGTAATTTCTCTCCAATGTTGAGTTTAACGTTTAATTTCTTAGAGACCAGCGAGACATGAACATTATCATGCGTCCTGACTTTGTTATTCTGTATGGATGACGGATGGTCTGTCAGGATGAATACCGCTAATATTTTGCGTACCTTTTTTTTTTTGCGCTTTAGCTCTTACTATCACTTTTGGTTATCAGTTTATATACGATACCTGTTGATATAAAAAAGTGCTGGATCGTTTCCCCCGCATTTTTTTCTTTTACACTCTAAGAAGTGATGTTTTAAATAACAACACACCGGCTTGTGTTACCCATTTTAACACTTTCTGTGTCGTATTGTTTTCTTATTTAACACATTCTGCGGTAAAAGTAACCCAAAATGTGTTATTCATAACTGAGTATAGAAATATTTCAGCACAAAATGTGTCGTTTCCGACTGAACACACTGATGTTTTCTGTTTCAGGAGTGTATAAATCTCCTAAACGTTCTGCAGTGTTTAAAATTCCCCGTTATAAGGCAGCTTTTTAAATACGAGTGTTTTCGTTTGGAGCTGTGAACGCAGCTCAAAATAAATTCATTAAAAATTCATTATAAATTTAAAAAGCCTCAGTTCGGTAAAAGGAGCTAATTTCAAAGACGACACACGTCATATTTTACAATCGTCCTCCTGAATAAGCGCCTTAATGTGTTTAAATATTCGATACTTACATTTAAAGTATATTTATTTACCAACTTCAAACACAAGCAAAAAAGAGTAAAAGGGGTAAATAATACTGAATAGTATTTTTATCGTTTAGAATTTAAATATAATGAACTGATTCAACCAGCCTATAAAAAGAGGCACATATCATGTCGCTTCAGGCAGCTTTATAAACGTGTTGGTCAGTGCATAATATTCAATAACCAAAAAGGAAAAAAAAGATAAAACGAAATAAATAAACAACTCAGAGTGAATAAACAGCACAGCTCAATCATCATCATCTGTCAGTTACACTAAAGGTGTTAATCATAATCCAGATCCAACCGCGGTGTGAAGTGAGGTGATAAAGAGGGCTGTGTCGACACTAACGTCGTGCTGATGTAACGTCGGCTGTTTTTAAGGTCAACAGGAGAGAGTTCAGTTTGATTAACTTATCTTAAAGACAGAAGCGCTGATCCTCAGCGGACTGACCGAAACCACGTGTCTTTACAGACACCGAGCGGACAGTAAAACTGCCAGACTTAGTCTCACAGTCTGATCCGGATCATCAGCAGAGAGTCTTTTCAAATGGCAAATGGCACCGGCTATTTTTCACCCATAAATGCATCTGTGTAGCCTGTTTATTAATGTCCGCTGTTAAAGGGGGGAGATGAGAGCGCAGGCGGCGACTCAACCTTCCTCTGTGGAGGAGAGCTTCACTCATCCTGTCCGAGAAAAGGCTACTACTGCCTGAGGATAAGCTCATAATCAGCAGCCCGCAAAGAGGACAACATCAGGATGTTACAGTTCCCAAAGACCTTCCGTCACTTTGTCTTTTCAAACATCTACCGCGATGTAATAAATCAGTTTGGGTTTAACAGACAGACTTAAGCGCTCTAATCGCTTTAACTCTTCAGCGTTTGACTTTCTGAAACGCTCCTGATGCGTATTGTTCAGAAACGGAACATTACCGAAAACATGACAGTCACAACAAGAGACCGTATCAATAAGTGACTATTTAAATGTTGTTTCTTTCTCATCAGGCGACTCCGCGTCTGAAGGAAGCAGAAGAAAGAAAGCAGAGCACTTGTTGCATTTAAATACACAAAGCGTGGTCAGTGAAGAGGAAAGGACGAGGTCAGCTTCCAGCCTAAAGGCCAGAGACTAGAGAGGGATTACAGAGCACACGGGAAACAAAGGAAACACGTAAACCTAATGAGATCTTTTCTTCTCTTTCTTTTTTCTGTGTCGCTGGAAATGAAATATTTGACAGAACTGCTGTAACCTACACTCTGTATTAGCACTAGTGAAACTAAATAAGTAACCAGACTGCCTTAAAATCCCGACTTCATTCAACCTCTAATTGTATGTAACTAATAACAATAATCAGTGTTTTATGTTCTGTCAACTTATTATGAGATGTTCAGTAAAATAAAATATTAAGGCGGGTTACTTTAAAACACCAGCGATTTTTACAGAAACTACAGAATCCATTTACAGAGCTACACGTAATTACACAACTAAGGTTTTAACTGCGGTCATTAATTCATGCCTGTCTATATTTACAGCTTATATAATGTCGTTGTATTAGTCTTGCATTAATCCTAGTAACTCCATCACACCTGCACTATTACTGTCGCACTAATTTAGTATTAATGTTGCCTTAATTCTCTGAATCAGTGGAGACATGTACGTCACTCTTCATTAAAAAATAAGATTTGATAGTTCAGAACACTACAGTCCTACCTTCAGAACAAAGCATGCACACATCGTAATGTTAAATAAATAAACAAATACATAAATCTGTATGTGTAGCATTTGGTCACCTGCGTGGAAGAAGCCCTGTGTCGGCTTTACTGATGGGCTGAGCGGTGGCACAGTGTGGTATGAAGGGAATCCCCCCATTCCCGAGGGTCATTAGAGCGCCCCCACCTGTTACCTGCGGGAAAAAGGTGTGACTTCATCACTGTGAACATCAGTAACGTAAACCTTGACATGGGATCAAATTAAAGTCTCCATCAGAAACACCTGTAAATCTATATAGTAGCACCGTGTACTTTAAATCACTCTGAAAATAGAGCTCTTTAAAACGGTTCTTTGGTAAAAATGGTTCTATACAGCACTAAAAAGGGTTCCACCATTGTTACGAGTCAGAGAACCCTTTTTGCTGAGAGAGCAGAGCTATTCAGAATATTCCTAAGTAGTGTGTGTTGGCAGCCTTTTACAAGTTTATTAAAGTAGAAGACATTTTTCACATACAAATACGAAACTACACGAAGCGATTATTTTATCAGACAGTCTCGTTAGAGAGTCCGTAATATCTAATATGGAAAATGAAATATGTTGCGTGCGCTCGCGCGGTGCGTCCGTTGGTGCGCGCGTGCATGTGTGAAGGAGAGCCAGAGGAATAACTACATGTTGATTCCGCTGTTATTTCCATTTGTGGTCTGCGAGGCTGCTATTGGCTCGCGCGTGAAGAGCTGTTACCTCAGCAGATTAGTGCTTTCTACAAAAAGCAAAGAGCGCAGATTAAATCAGATGCTTTACCGGAGAATAAGGAAATCTAGAGAATTATACGCTGGGTGCGCATGGATGGGCTGAATGAAGTAGTGAGCTGGGCAGAGAGGAGGAGGAGGAGGAGGAGGAGGAGGAGGAGAAGAGGAGGAGGAGAGGAGAGGAGGAGTGGGGGCTGGTGGCTGTACATGTGACAAGGGGAAATATGAGGGACTTTGACAGGTCTTAAACGGTCTGGCGCCAATGCCTCAGTCTACTGGCTAAATATAGCAGGAGAGATGATGCAGAGGTTTGGGTAGAGATGGCGAAAAGATGGAAAAAGGGGGCAACAATGTACAAGAAAAAAAAGGCGGAAAGGAAAGCGACCCTTTAATAAGCGATACGAGCCTATTGTGTTTTAGTGACATCAGTCTGATATGATGATAGTAAAAACCTGTATGATGTTTTATAAAAATGTTATTTCATACGTAAGCCTAAAATGCGTTGTTAAACCATCAGACAAAGGGCTCAATGAGGACCTGACTGACCCGAGCAAATAATGCATAAAGAACCCCGATATTATTTGTTAAATACTAAATTAAAAAAAAAAACAGTGATGCATTGAATTTACTTGGTTCCAATTTGTATTTCCACATGAAAATAATGTACTACACCAACACAAACAAAGCCAAATGTAAGTAAACAGAAAGACAAGTTATGCTGATGTAATCCGTGTCAATGCATCACTCTGGATTTAAGTCTTCCTCCTCTAATTTTTCAGAGCACCACTTTATTTACCTGCTTCTCATCAGAAGGGTCGGAGCACCCCCCACACCCCCTCAGCTCTCCACTGCGGCGCTGCACTGAGAAGTTTCCTCCCAGCAGTAGGAGCAGCTCTGAAGCCCTGTGTGATAATGGCTCAGCGCTTGATTACATTCTTGTCGGTTTGGATGTGTGTCAGTGAGGATCTGGGCCCTAGGAAAAATAAATCGGACCTAATTGCTGGGACTCTGTTGATGTGATTAGTTCCTTAAGTATATACATGGAAAACCATTACCATTCCCATGTGTGCCTAATCTCTTTCCACTTCAGATCGCCCTCTGTCCAAGGTGAAGCCCGCAGATCAAACATAGACTATTGATCAGGCCCATTCAGAGGCTCTGTAGGTAAAACCCTTCACTGCGACTGTTCTCTAATAAGCAAATCACAACGGTGCCACCAGAGCCAGATCCCCCAACGACTATGAGCTGAAGATCGCAGACAGAAAGACAGCAGTCTTTATCATACAGCTCGACGTAAATAACGATAGCTTAAAATACGTTTTTTTTTTCCAGCTGCGAAGCAGTTTGAACGGCGCCCAAAAGCAACAGCAGGCTGCGGTAAATATTTACACGAGTGAGCCGCTCTTATACCATTTAAACTCAGCTTACTGACAGTCTCTGCAGTGGATCGCGCTACCAGCACAGCCCTATTACAGATTAATTACACCATGTTACAACATATCACAACGTTTACTCAAGGATAGTTTCACCTATTACAAAATAATAAAGATAATAAAGAAGAAAATAAAATGATTTGATTTTATCTTATTAAATTCATTACATTATTTTGGGATTTCTCTTTCTTTTACGTAGATTTCTGTTTTTATGTTTAATGTTTATTTATTCATTTTATTATTTACTTCAGTTTTGTTTAGCATGTAGGGGCATTCTACAAGAATACCATCTAAACATTTGCCAGACATTTTGTCAAAAAAAAGGAAAAAACAAAACAAAACAATTTTCCCACAGAAATCGTTTGAGGATATTAGACCTTCCCTCTGGTAAAATATGTAGCTGTTTATATTATTTTAACGATAAGATTTAATCTGTCTTTATTCTGCTGTGTGTATATCAGACATATATCTGTATAAGCGCACTCCTATTTTACTGGCCGCTCTGTCTCAGCTGTCTCAGTCCTCTACACGCTTTATACTCTTTGTTTGCGACTGAAAATGCTGCCGTTCAGCAACAGGTGTGCATGACTGAAACACTTCAGCCCCCTAATAAACTCCATTAAACACGAACATTTTCTACGGTGTATTTCACTGCACTGTTCAAAATAATACTGTTTTTTTTTACGTATTTTTTCCCTCTCTGAATATTTGGGTGAACTATTGTAATTATTTTTTCTAGTTTAAGCTAATTATTACACTTCCTTTCCTTTTTGTCTGACAAAGCTAGAAAACTAAATTTTTGATGTTCTAACATTTTGCACTGTTACAGACAGACTGCTCTGTTTGTTTCCTCATGCAGACCTACACGCATAGTAGGGCAGTGTTTAGAGATAAAGGTACCCTGCGGGGAGTTTTCGCGCGTGCAGCAAGAACCCAGTGAGAGTAAGAATGGGGCATGAAGGGTTAATGCAGGTTTCTGCATGTTTCAGTAGTGGGAGAATGGAACCCAACACTGAAATTCTGAAGATTCATCAACATGTTCAGTTTTAGCTGCGAACCGAGTCTTGACTTTTCATCCAAAAACACAGCCGTGATCCGGAGCCGCGGTCTGAAAGGTGCAGCGGTGGCAGCGGCGCTTTAAGAGGCTCTGTGGGCAAATATGAAGTGACAGGAGAAGGTTCTTATTGTGGTCCGCCTGCCGCCTGGAGCCCTTCAGCTACTCCACTACACACACACTCACACACACACCCCATGTCCCAGTGAAGGAAACCTGCAGCAGCCTGCATCTGTGACCATGTGTCCAAAGTGCACAGTAAATATTTAGTGAAGTCCCATCACACTTCAGCACTGCTGAACCCGTATGAGAAACAGCTAACACAAACACAATCATGAGGAAATATCTCCCTATATGAGAAACATCTGACGCGTTTAAAGCTACATCAGGAATTATTTTCCCATATGAGACATATCTGATATTAAATATATATAAAATTATATCAGAACATTTCTGCTTATATGAAAAACATTCAAGACAAACCAGAAAACATCTCACTGTGTGGGAAACGTCTAAATAATAAGAGAAATTATCTTTTGAGATTATCATTTGAGAAATATCAGGCACATGTGAAACCACATCAGAGATGATATCTCCGTATGGGAAATATCTGGCACATATATAGCGATTGAGAAATTATATCATCATTAAGAAAAAATATCTGACGTATAAAACCTGTTAGAAATTAATAATCTAAGTGGTTATTGCATTTTGAGTATTAGTATCAGTTTTATCTCTTGCACATGAAATAATGTAACCAGCTTCGTGTTTGTTGTTAACACTGAAACGTGCTAAAGCGGCGTTTTCCCTTTAAGAAAGTCGCTTCTTGAGAGCAAACAGTAAGAAACTCACCCGCTGATCTTTACTCCTTCCATCCTCGTGCTCTTGCAGGAGCTCTGCTGCTCCTCTGGAGGACTCAGCGGATCCCTGTCGAACTGAAACACTGAGCACGTTTAAAAAAAAAAAGAAAAGAAAAGAGGACAGTTTGATCATCTGGACGAGACTTATTAAAGATTAAGTCTGTGTTCTCAGACTCCACGGCTCTCGGCTCGAGTCGCTCCTGCGCGGAAGGGACGGCGGGATGTGTTCAGTGATCTAACTGGGGGCGAGCGGGACATTTTAACCACAGGCTCACGCTCGAAGCGCGTTCACGTGTTTGTAAACACGCGCGTCCGATGGCAACTGCTTTCCTCCAGCTCGAAACAAGTCTGCTGCTAAACGGGCGCTTTTTCTGAGGCGCTAGTTCATTTGCGGACTTGGCGGGTCCGCGCTGTGTTTACTGAGCAGATTAGAGAAATGAAAGCGCGCTCGTTAGCTCGGCTGCTCGTTGCGCGAGCTCCGCGGCGGATCTGGAGGTGAGGGGGTTTGGGGATCAGACAGCGCGCGGGGCAGGCGGCTGTCCCGTCCGCCGCCTTCAGCAGCCCTCCGCGCGCTGCCCGGCCTCCACGCGGGGGTGGGAGTTCCTCGAGCCGCGCTGTCATTGGTTAATATTTTATTCTGTTGACATGTTTTCTTACTGCTAATGCTTCCGACACCTTTCCCGTCCGCCCCCCTTCTCCTCCCCTCCCATTCACCCCCCCTCCCCCTTCTTCTCGGGCCTGGCCCGAGCTGTCAAAACCACGCCTATGGAGAGCCACAATTGGTCCAGAAAGCGTAAAATCAGCAATCAAGGGGGCTTGGTTCATTAGTGCTGGGAGCCCGAGCAGGAAGGACGTGGGAGAGAGAGTTGCACTCGGACAGAGCTGGATCTGAGCGCGTTCTCTTGGCTCGTGCTCGAAGCTCGGATGGGCATCAGCGTCGAAAAAGAGTGGTCTCGGTCGCTTTTTTACGAGGAGGACGGCTGCAGGGAGAGAAAAAAGGGGGATCCCCAAAATCTGCTCTGAAATCGTTGCTGCCTTCACTTTGACTGGTAATATTCGGAGTGTCCGCGGAGGCTGAAGCGGTGACCCCCCCTCTCCCCTCCTCTCTCTCCTCTTCTCTCTTCTCTTCTTCTCCTCTACCACTCCGCCTTTGCTCGCTTCTCCACGTCCCTTCGTCGATCCTTTTTCCACACTCTTTTTTGCACCACTGCGCTCGAAAAACCACGCCAGCCTTCCTCCCGCTCAGCTCAGCGAGACGACAGCGCGGCGCTGCTCCGCTGCTCTGGAATACGCGAGGAAAAGAGACACAAACAGCACAGCTCTAACTACCATCCCATTTCCCCTCGGCGAGTTTTGGATGCACCGATGAGAGATCCAGTCTTTTCGGGCACTGCCATGGCTTACCACCCTTTCCACGCTCACCGGCCCACCGACTTCCCCATGTCAGCGTTCCTGGCGGCCGCGCAGCCCTCCTTCTTCCCCGCGCTGGCTCTGCCTCCCGGCGCGCTCACCAAGCCCATTCCGGAGCACGCGCTGGCCGGGGCCGCCGAGCCGGGTCTCCATCCGGCCCTCAGCCACCATCAGGCGGCCCACCTCCGCAGCCTCAAGAGCCTCGAGCCCGAGGAGGAAGTGGAAGACGATCCCAAAGTTACACTGGAAGCCAAGGATCTATGGGACCAGTTCCACAAACTGGGAACAGAAATGGTTATTACGAAATCTGGCAGGTAAAGCTTCCTCTTTACAGCTTGGCTCGGGTTCATTTTAAATACTGCCATCATCTGGAATGAGTGGAGTTTATATATTATTAGTTCTGCCTTTATATTATCTCACATACCGCAGCAGAATTGCGTTCATTTTTAATTTCGTTCAGTGAACGCTTGTTTTGTTTAGGCCCAAAACAAGTCACTCTTCCACATTTGCCATTTTACTTGCTGTTAATTTTCCAATTGGTGTCCTATTATTAAGATCAGGCCTGAGAGAGATTACAAAGACACCTTGTGTGTGTGTGTAGCAGAATATTTCCTCGCGTGCTGAGTTTCTGCTTCACATTCGAACACATATAACGTGGACATAAGTCATCTGCTCCATTGTTAAGAAGCACGCTGAGTTTAGAAGCTTCAGTGTTGGATGTTGAATTGTTTTTACAGGCCTGTGTATTCACAGCCTACACAGTGACCCTGTCTGAATTCTCTCCGAGTAGAAAAACCTGCTCCTATAGCGGCCTGAGCTCAGAGAGAGGAACAGCTCGGGATTTTTAAACAAGCTGACACTTCTACAGATGTGCACTAGAGCAATTACTGTCCGATCAGAAATTCACTGAATATCCCAAGATTTAGATATATAATAAAACGTGTTTTTAAATTATTATTATTTAGGTCAGTAGTCTTAGTTCGTTCGAAAATGTGACTGAAAAAATAAAGAAATAAATAAACAAAACCTATCAGGTTCTCTTATGGCGATAATAAGCGCTTAAATATGTGAAGTGATTAGCCTGATTTATTGTGCTCGTGCTGTGTTCGGACGTTGGTTGGAACAGTAGAATAGTAAATTGTAGAATAGTAAAGTGTAATTATAATGTTATTAAAATGCGCTGAAGTCTAATACGCGTTAATAAACAATCGTCTTTCCCCCCTCACAGGAGAATGTTTCCACCCTTTAAGGTCCGAATTAACGGACTGGATAAAAAAGCCAAGTATATTTTGTTAATGGACATCGTGGCTGCCGACGACTGCCGCTATAAGTTCCACAACTCGCGCTGGATGGTGGCGGGCAAGGCCGACCCGGAGATGCCCAAGCGCATGTACATCCACCCGGACAGCCCTGCCACAGGAGAGCAGTGGATGGCCAAGTCTGTCACTTTTCATAAACTCAAGCTGACCAACAACATTTCGGACAAGCACGGATTTGTAAGTAGCCTGTTACTGCACGCTACGGGCTCAGATGCTTAAATATTTGTGGTTTGGAATTTTGACAGATATTTTGCACAAATATGGAGCTTCAGGCCATTTATTTGAAGGAAGTGTTGCTGTCACTGATTTCCCCAGTAGGTTACTGTGCTCACCGTTTCAGATTGGCTAAAGGGCTTGAATATCCTTATGGTAAAACTGGGCATATATTAGTATTATTATTTTTTTTTAATCGCAGACAGAATGTGATTGAGTCACTTTGGAGTTGTGAATAATCCTGGTTATTGTCAGCGGGGTTATGTAATCTGAACACTTCATCCTGAGTTTTTCTTGGCCCCTGCTGTATGGTATGGTTTGTGACAGAGGCGCAGAGCGCCGTGTGGTTCTGGAGGTGGAAAGCTACAGAAATCAGGTCAGGAGAGCGGAATAGATCTGGAATCGCAGTTTAATGAATGATCCAGGCTCTCCAAGACACCATAGAGGAAAAACTGTATTGAGCTGCCCGTCCTGAAGGCAGTGGGTCTTCAAGCATGTTTTAATGTGAAAATGGTGGCGGGTGTATTGGTTGTAGGACGCAGCCCTGCGCATAGCCTTATATGTGTATAGTCCAATGCAGCACGCGCCCACTGTGCCCTCCACCGTAAACAAATTCGGCAGGAAACATACACAATTTACATGCATGCCACACTCATTCGATAACTGTAAACTCAGATAGGAAGGCTCATAGTTTTTTCTCCTTTTGTCCACTGTTGCTGCCAAACTGTTTTTCAAGCTGTTCCATCGTGTTTAGGCCTTTCTCATCTGATTTCTACTACGGCTCCGCTTTTATTGGCCCAGTGTCATGTGACCATACAACCTAAAGTGTCAGCACGCTATTGTGAGCATTTGTAACTTTCTGCTCCGTGTAAGGAGTAAATGAGTGTTTTGTTTATGATTTAATACGTCGTGAAAATTAAACTGTCTCCTGTTCTCTCCTTCTCTGTTTTATTCCCAGACTATACTGAACTCCATGCATAAATACCAGCCTAGGTTCCATATTGTGAGGGCCAACGATATACTGAAGCTTCCCTACAGCACTTTCAGGACATATGTGTTTCCCGAGACCGAATTCATTGCTGTCACTGCCTATCAAAATGACAAGGTACGTAGCCCATATTTGCTTTAAAAAGGAACCAATTATTTGCAATGACAAGATTTGTCAGGTTGATGCCTGGATAAACTAGAATTCACGTTTGTGAGCGAACATTTCATCACTCGGTTGTACAGCTGCTCTTTTCTCACGACTCACGACTTTTCTCTTTTCAAGTAATTTAGATGCTTAAATGAAAGCAGTTCTACGTCTTTTTTAATGCGACTTTTGTTCTGTCTTGATTTTTTTCCCATTGCTTTCTTTTTAATATGACGTTATTTTAATATGGCCATTTCTTCACAGTCACTGTTTTTGCTGTTCATGCGGCTCCTGCTCATAGGGACTCTTCTCAATAAACACGGGAACATATGCTGTTCATCTATGTGCAGTTTGGCCGTTAGCATGCATCAGATCCTTTTCTATGGGCCGCTGGACCCTCAGCGCTCATATTAATTGCAGTCTGTGTCTGAGGGCCTACTGGGCTTGTTGCTATCGTAAACTTTATGGCATAGAGTCACAATCGATTAGCACGGCCTTAAACTCCGCGCTCTGTCCGGAGCCCCACACCTCAATCACAGCGGCTCACTCGCTCAGGTCTCACCTCTACCGCAAAAAATAGGAACGAAAGCGTGGACTGTGGAGCTTCACTCTTCCCAGCGGAATAACCTTATACTTAATTTAAGCCCCCTTATCTCCCGACTGAAAACAAAAACAGTGTCATCTAAACACTTTTTTATCCCACTTGTATATTAATTATTGATGTCGTCATTATTTGCCCCTTGCTGTTGGTTGTGTTCTGTATTGTCTACTAGCCTACTAGTCTGTGACAAATGGAAAATATTTACTCGAGAAATGTTCTCGGGGGGGTTGTTAATATGCCCTTACTCATCATTAAATATGCTTTAATAATTAAAATGCCACGGAGGCATCGTTTTAAAGCATTGTTTTTAGCAGCAGACTGAAGGGATAATTAGTCAAGGAAAGCAAAAGAACTTTTGTATGCCATTAAAGCACTGCGTGGAGTAATAATAATAATAATAATAATAATAATATAACAGAAATATAATTTTAATAATAATAATAATAATAATAACGTTTGTCTTTTTTGTCTCCAGATTACACAGCTGAAAATCGATAATAATCCATTTGCTAAAGGATTCAGAGACACAGGAAATGGAAGGAGAGAGAAAAGGTGAGCCTAAATCTCCTGTGTTAGCTTTATCCCACATTACTGCTTTAGTAAGATCGCATGTGATTCTTATTTTCTTTCTTTCCACTTAAGTCGTTTGTTTTCTATCAGGCCAGGCTGATGATCACTGACTTTGCGCTCTTGCTCGTGTCTGTACTCCAGGAAACAGTTAACTCTCCCTTCATTACACATGTATGAGATGGGTCAGTGTAAAGTGGACCGGGATGGTGGAGACTCTGATGCCTCCTCAGGAGAGCCTGCCAGCGGGAGAGAAACTGCCCACTCGCCCATCAGACCAGTGACCAGCCCACTGCCGTTCACTCGGAGCACCAGAGGTAGCCTTTCTTACTCACTGATCCTGCTGGCCAAAAAACACTCACACTAAATAAAAAAAAACCTACTGAAATGTAGAACTGGACTGCACTGAGGGCCACTCGGCCAGTGTTCACAGTGAGCTCTCCATTAGCTTATGTTTCATTTCTTGCAGTGAAAAATAACAGTCTGAATTAGCTGAATTAGCCTGCTGCTAAGTGAATTAAAATGTAATTTCCTCATCGATTTTAGAGCTGGCTCAACAAGTAAAACCCACATTTAGACTTAATCTCAGGCTTACTGTGGACATGAGGATATGCGCTAATAGCAGACTGAGCTGTTAGCCCACTTATAACCTTCTGAATATTCAGGCTCAGCTGTAACTGAATTATAGTTTTATAAAGAAAAACACTTTGTTCACTACGCTGTTATTTCAATCTGTCTTGAATATAAATGTATTTTACGTATATTTGTCAGTGATATTCTAATTGCTGCTATGCGCTAAGGCTAACCTGTTAGCTAAGTATGCTGCTAGCTATTTTCAGTGGAACTGCTTACAAAAATGAAATTACAAGGTTAAGATCATAAACATCGCTTGATTCGTTAAAAATGTTTTATTCATAAGAATTGCTTATATATTTAAAAATCACCTTGAATTGGGAAGAAATAAACTACACGTTCTCAATAAAGAAAAGTAAGGAACAAATTGGATCTTAACTGTGCAGAAAGTGTATATAATATTCGCAACTTCCCCAAATTACACATGTATCCCTCTGCTGTCTATGGACTTCAACTCATATTGCTGAATATTTTAACAACTGAAGTTACTTTACAGCAGTAAATAATACAAATTATTCGCTTATTATCTGAACATATGAATAGAAAACTTAACCATTTTTCTTCTCTCAGATGACAAAACCTGCAGTGACAGTGAGCATGAAACTGACCACCAGGAAGAACAGTGTGGCGAGTCAAGCAGTCCTGCTCCCAAGCCCCCTTCTCCGTTCAGCCCGAGGTGCGAGGAGCGGCCCAGAGAGAGGTCCAGCCTGGACAAGAAAGAGGACTACTCGGACTCGAGAAAGGCCAGCGACTCCATATTTAACATAAGCAGCGCAGACAAAGACAAGCTGGAGCACAAGCACAGGAAAGACTCCGAGTCGTCCAAGAAGGATGCGGACAGCGGAGGTCTGAGCGGGAGTAAAGAGAGCTTCTCCCCGCTCATGGTACAGACTGAGAGCCCCTCACATTTCGGAGCGGGACACCTGCAGAGCCTAGCGCTCTCGGGCCTGCACAGTCAACAGTTCTTTAACCCGCTGAACACCGGACAGCCCCTACTCTTCCACCCCGGACAGTTCGCCATGGCGCCCGGGGCGTTTTCAGCCATGGGCATGGGACATCTGCTGGCCTCTGTATCAGGAGCGAGTGGCTTGGAGAACGGCAGCGTGGCAGCGCAGGGGGCTGGAGCGACTCCCAGCCCCTTCCCCTTCCATCTGTCCCAGCACATGCTGGCCTCTCAGGTAAGACATTCCCATAATCATCATTTACAGTTCCCATCAGTGGCTCACGTGCTAAAACGTGATTATAATTGTCGACAAATGTTTGCAGTAGTGAGGGTGCAGCCGTGTGTCTGAGTTTATGGATAACACGTTGAGGGCTGTCAAACAGAATCAGGCTCTGGCAAGGACGTCCTTATGATTAGCTTGTGTGCAGACAGCTCAGAGACAGATCAGGTTTACCCTGCGAGCTCTGGCGTGGTTTAGATCCACAGGTAGGCTACAGGTGACATGTTCAATGGTGTGGATGGATACAGATCCATGTGTTTAGAGATGATATCCATACAGAAACTCCTCTGCATCACTTTTGACTGGTTTAAAGAGGTTTAAATCTGTGGAAAGATCTGCAGGAGTTTGATTGTACAGACATTTATTAACTCATTACCCAGTTTAAGTTCAGCTCTAAACTCCCACCTTCTCTAGCTCTTCCTTCCCACAGTAGTTTCTAACGCACGTCTCTTCTTCCAGGGCATTCCCATGCCACCCTTCGGCGGACTCTTCCCCTACCCGTACACGTACATGGCTGCTGCGGCTGCTGCGGCCTCTGCCCTGCCGGCCAGCTCCTCGGCCTCCTCGCTGTCCAGGAACCCGTTCCTGAGCGGCTCGAGGCACCGCCTGCGCTTCAGCCCCTACCAGCTGCCCGTGTCCATCCCTCAAAGCACAAACCTGCTGACCACCGGCCTGCCAGGCGGTCTCAACCCCTCGTCCGAGTCCTCCAAGTCCGGCAGCAGGGAGGCCAGTCCGGTGCCCGAGCAGCAGCAGGGCCACAAGGGCGGCTCTGGCCAGAGGAACGGCTCTCCAAAAACTCCGCTGAAGGAGTCCATCAACGAGCTGCAGAACATCCAGAGACTCGTGAGCGGCCTGGAGAGCCAGCGAGAGCCGTCCCCGAGCAGGGACTCACCCAAGTGATCAAGAGTCCCTAAACCTATCCAGGGCATGACTTGAATCGCCAGAGGATGTCATCAAGCCATTCTCTGATGGATGTTCGTGTACTCTTAAAAATACAAACAAAACCCGCATGGATGACCGCAGTGGCAATAGCAAAACAGGACAGGAGAAAAAAGAAACAACCAAAAATGACCCGTGGAGGACGAAACGAACTTGGTGCTCTTGTGGTGGAAAACTTGAAAAGAGCCAGAAAACGGCGCGAAGACAATCTCCCACAGCCCCTATCCTGACTGAGTCCATGCAAAACTTGCTGAAAACCTCATCAATCCGAGATTTCGCGAGACGAAAATTGCAGCATTTGTAGAACGGAAAATAATGACGGCTGACCACAGAACTGTGGAGATGAATGATGATTCAAATGACACTTTATGATCTCTAAATCAGCCAAGCTACATCCCCAGAAAACCAAACACTAAACACGAATAAATGAATAAATAAAACGGTATTAGAAAAGGGATTGAGGTGACAGTTAGTGGACAGTTTGTGATATCCGCCGGACAGCTGTACGTGAACTATTTAATGTAATTAAAAAGTAATTCTGTAAATAAGCTATAAGGATCCAAGAATATGCAAATTGGTATTAATTTATTCAAAGCTGTACATTTGCGTGTACATAATATTTAGAGTTTAACTCATTGCTTTTTTTTTGTCATTTTACATGAACGTACATTGTAAATGGAAGCTACTTAATAGCGCTTGTTGGGTTGGAGCAGATATTTCTATCTGTGATGCATTTTGCTGTTTAATCTGCCTGTGACACGGAACGGAAGTGTGTGCCATCGCTGCGCAGTGGCTGGAAGACCCTTAATGAGGGCAAGCTGGGCGCCTCAGGTGAATCTTCTCCAACACAGGCGAGCCACATTCCTCCTCCTGAACTGACTAAAGCCCACACAGCCCACAGGGACAGGCCTAGAGCTCAGTGTATGAACGTGTCGCATTTGCTGGTTGTCCGGATTTTTTTTTCTGTTGTTGGATTCTCTCACAGTTTCAATAAAAATGTGTTGAAATAATTGCCTGTGGCAGCTTTGTTATGGACTAGCTTTGCTGGAGATTAGACCACCGAGCGTAGACCAAACAATCCATATCAAACAGCACTTTAACAATGTGAGGAGCGGTCGACAGCTTTAGCTGGTCAGGTTAGCATTGCTGCGTCCTCCTATTTAAAACAATGTACACTGTGACGTGCTCGTGACTCGGGCTTTGTAGGCCTCTGGGGAGAAATTTAAACTCTCACAAAGTTTGCGGTTATCAAGTACATGTGAAACCGCGTCCGGGAGTCTTATTATGACTAATATTATGCTCGAGTTTACATTGTCAGCTCTCCTCTGTAGACTCCGCTCTAGCCTGTGCTAGTCTGCACAGAGCTCCTTCAGGCCAGCCAAGCATAAATAACAAGACGCAGACTAGAGCGCCCTCTGTCGGCCACGTGCTTACTCTCAAGTTACAATGACCTCATATAATTGCAGACACGTTATTATTTTCTGTTACGTTTGAATTAATTAAAGCTTAGATTCTTAGGCAGATGGCTTGTAGAAGACAGTACTTACTTTCTGAAGGCGGAACTACATTGTAAAGATCTGAACCTTTAGATCATTTTAATATAAAGTCTGCAAAATAGCTGTTTACCAAATATGTACACTTTTCAAAAAATACCTCGTCCTTTTCCAGTTCGAGAATCTGTAACAACAACAACAACAACAACAACAACAACAACAATAATAATAATAATAATAATAATAATAATAATATAAACAAAAGGGGTTGTTGTGCATGTTGAGTAGACTAATGTTTAGAAATGGTTTATCAGCGCTTCCTATCTTTATTCCCATCGTTTCCTGTCCATTGTTTCTTGACGACTTATGCATTCAGAATTATAACGCATATTTAAAGACTCTATAACAGCAAGCACACAGTCACACGCAGGACGAAAAGATGTGCTTGAGAGAGTGTGTGTATGTGTGTGTGTGTGTGTGTGTGTGTGTGAGAGAGAGAGAGAGAGAGAGACAGAGAGAGAAGAGCTGGCGGGGGAGCAGTGCAGGGAAAGTTTGTTGTCATGTGAAAGGGTTAAGCCGTGCTGCATGGCCTGATGGGAGCCTGGCCGCCTCAGTGCCCGGTCAGCAGACAGGCCTTTGTCCAGCCTGCGGCGCCTGTCGCCTGCCTGCCGGCCACTGCGCCTCCCCACACCCGAGACTCGTAGCTCCTAATTAGAGATCCCCCTCTTGTGTCTGCGCTTTTCATTCCCTCGCAATGACCACAAGCCCCCGTTTTTATTAAGGGGCCATTGTTAAACACTGTTATCTTCAATTAACAGAGCGGGCAACTCGACCTTACTATTTGTCCAAACTAATCAGTCAATGAGCGATCAATAGGCAGCAGTGGAGGGGAGTGGTGCTCGCTGGCAGGCTGGGCTGTAGAGCCAGGGCTTTAATTCAGGGCCAGAGGACTGAGATACACCACAACTGAGAGAAAAAAATAATACTTCAGTGTAGCATCTCTCTCTCTCTCTCTCTCGCTCGCTCTCCACTCCTCACCCCCCCCTCTCTCTCTCTACCCCTCCTCCCCGTTGCATAGAAGACAAAATAAGCATTCATAAAGTGTGCTTTCTCACAGTATTGCTCTCAGTTCTTTATCTGCAAGCGGCTGAAACTGAACACTGAGCAGTCTGAAAATGTATGAAGCCACTGAGGGGTTGAGATGACTTCTTGCTGATATCACTTCATTCTCTACGACCCCCAAAATCCTGCTGCAAGAAAAGCAAAGCCAGTTTAAACCATGTGAGAACAGCTTACAGCCAAGTCAACTTCTGGAACACTAACTTTAATACTAATATGACCCACCATATTTATAAAGGTAATATAATAACTCAGAATCAGTGTTTAGGGTTGTGAGTAACAATATGACTGATGATGAGCCAAGTGTCCATGTGACACCTGTTGCAGATCTTTACTTTTCAGGTCATACAGTCTGATGGAGGTCAATCATTACAGACATTCAGACCCACAGATTCTCAGCTGATCACATAAGAGCACAATTATTTCTAAAAGTCTAAAAAAAAGTGACAAGCTGATTATACTGAAAAAGGCAATACACTGAATTGACTTGACTCAAACGTGTACATCATTTTCACATGAATAAAATATACTACATTAACACAATTACTGCTGAAAGTAAACAGAAAGGAAACATTGTTGTGTTGTTGTACTTTATTCATGTAGAGATGTACTTGATTCAAATGTGTACATTCGTGCATCGCCGTCTCATTGTAGAAGTCCAACATGTCACTCTTGTCAAAGTTAAAAGATAAAAATACATTAGTGATAAATTTCAGTCAAACAGTCAGAACCTACAACTCATTGATTCTAAGGGAAATCTCAGTCTCTGCAGTGTTTCACGCCTCTACCAAAGCTTGTCTACTAAAGGCAATAAAGCATAATTTCACACTTGAGAAGCCTGTAATCACAGGTTTTCAGACAGCCTGAGTTTCCAAAATAGATTGAAAACTATCCAGATTAAGAAAGACAGTCCATGTAGGTTGTTCAGCTCAGCTGAAGCTCCTTCACGGCATGTGCTGTTGGACATGGCCTCCTCATTTGTGAAGGACAGTGCAGAAGTGTGCAGAGAGGGGGCAGCTCTACACTCTTAAACGTGCCAAAAACAGCTCACTTAGTAAAGTCAAGGAAAAACCACTTCTGGTTCCCTAAAGAACCATGTTTGAAAAGGGATTTGAAAGTTTGAAGAACCTTTTAAAGAACCTGCACATAATATATAGGTTCTTTACTAATTTAAAGGCTCTTCCTGGAGCTGTTATATTATGCGGAGATTCTTTCTGGCACCTTTATTTTTACCAGTGTACATAGACCAGCCCCACTGTTCTCTACACACTACACTTTTACAATGAATTAACAATTTAATTAATTAACTAATTAATCAATAAAAAATGTGATAGAAAGGGTTCTCTGAGCAATGCCGTAACAGAGCCACTTTTGGTTGAAAAAGAGATTTGTGGGTGTAAAGACTCTTTACATAAAAGTTAAGCTATACCAATTTAAAAAAACTAGAAATGCTATTTTCATCCAAATACCCTGTTTACAGAAATGATTCTTAAACAAACAAACAAACAAAAACCCAAAAAAGGCTTTCAAGGGAACCAAAAGTTTATTAATCTATATCATGCAAAAAACCCTCTTTGGTATCTTTATTTCTAAGAGTGTACATGAACACCATTTTCCATATTTATATTACTGTATGGTATTGGAAGCTCTCACAGACTCTTAAAAATAAAGGTTCCTAACTGGTTCTTAACTTGGATGTACAATTAGAGCAAAACCCCCCAATTGGTTTAAGAACCTTAATGTTATGTGGAGGTTCTTTAAACTTTAAAAAGATTCTTCACCCATGCACACTTCATTTAGAACAAATGATTCTTTAACCGCTTAAAATCCCAGGCTTATTACATACCAAGGCTTATTATTTAGTAACTACAGGGACTTCAATGCAAACTGGCTGAGCTATTCTTAAGATATAGAAGTGTGTAATAAAATTTTGCGCCTGCCAGTGGGCTCTGGCCATCTTAGGGGTTATAGAGCCATCCATTGAAAGGTTCCTGAGAGAATCAAAAGTGATTCTTCCATTCTATCACATTTTAGCACCTTTATTTTTCAGACTGTATTGATTTACAAGGTAAATGCAACTTTTGTCTCTCAGACATAACACGCAATACCTAGGTTACCTCAGGAGATACATGAGTGGGAGAAGATCAGAGGTAAACATGCTTAAGGAGATATAATCTCAGGGCCGCCTTGGACAGGCTATTCTTCTCTATTGGAGCTTAAAGGTCAAGTCAGCACACAGCATATTTATAGAGTCACAAGTACTTGTGTCTTTATATATGTGTGCATGTGTGTAGAATAATCTAAAATCTGTTAAATTCAAACAAAGCAAAAGCAAACTCACTTCTGGCACAAACAAATCAAACGCTGCCAATATTTATCCAGTCTGCTATAAGAATCATGAGAAAAGTCATGTGTACAGCAAACTGATCCTCCAAGAGTAATACATTCCTAACACACTGCAGAATTTATACAGTTTATCTTTGAATAGGCCTTTTGTTCACACTGTAAGCATCAGGCAGACGTCCACATGTCTGCCTTTTAATGGTAGATAAATGCTGTAAACAAATGGTAATGGAATAGTATATAATTGCTGTTGTGCACTCACTCAGTATTCAGTACTGGGGCTATTGGTGATTATTGATATGCTACCACAGAAGGTGTAAACAGTCAAATGCAAAGCACATAGATTTATTAAAATCCTATAAAACAGGAACACAATGCAAACATGTTCCACTCAAAGCTTGACTTTATCTTCAAGAAGTGGACTGTTTTGAACAAAACTGGTCCGGGAATGAAGGAGCATTGAAATACTCACATCTACCACTAGGTGTCGCAATAATTTGCTCAAAAATATAAGCGCAGCTTTGGACATTTTAAATTATGGAAAAAATGTGTTTCTATACTGAATGTAATTTCAAAACGTTGGCTGTCAAAGTTAATGTACTGAATAAAAAGTGACAGCTGTTAAAGAAGCGACTAATAATGCAAGTGTGAAATAAGACAAAAATAATGAAAAATAATTAATAATTAATTAATTAAAGTTGAATTCCTGAATGACCCTAATGCAACTGAGAGTAACTTTTTTGTACAAAACAACAACAATACTACTACTACTAATAATAATAATTAATAATACTACTACTACTAATAATATTATGTCTCACCGAGGCACCATGATTTATACAGCTGGATTTGACAAAATGTGCAAATATATGCCTTCGTCATCAGCATCTTCATTGCTGTTGATGTTGCTGTGTGTTGGTTCTTCGTCTTCTCCTATTTATTTATTTATTAAGAATTTTTTATTTATTATCTAAAAAGAAGTACAACACACACCATCAACAACAATTTTATTTGTTTATCTATTTATTTAACAGCCGTCCCTTAGCAGTCCAGTG